TACCTTTTACCTAAATACCACTCAGCCTAACAGCATTCCAGTTCAATAATAGCAGGCTCATCTATGGCACTGTTTTAGTGTAATTCTTTGTTATTCTGCATTATCTAAAGGCATGAGCTATATGAATTTTCTCAACTGAAAATGTTTTATAACCTGTTCCAGTATACACTCTTTATTGTTTAATACTTAACTCTCATTCTTAGTAAAATTGTGAATTACTGGGTTTTGTTATATCATTGTTGTGTTTTCTGCTTTTATTATCAACTCTCTTTGAATTGGTAATTAAGGAACACTAGTCAGATTTTGGCTTACCCAGAAAAATACTCAAAACATTTAAGAAACAATCAGTAAATCTTTGTTTTACACACAGTTTTAAAAACTTCAGTCCTGTTGTGTTACAATGGCAAGCAGAACTGTGTTCCTTTATTGAAGGGAAGAGGAAGAAGGTAAGATTTGGGATTCTCCCTCCACTTTTTCTCTGTTCATTCCCTACACTACCACTGACGCTGTGGGTTAGACCCTACTTAAAGAAACTCACTGTAAAAACCCTGTTTTCAAAATATTCATTCCCCTGAAGGCCTCAATTTTGCAAGTAGTAAATCTGTTTATTTATAAATTAATGCATAGGCCAAATGGCTCTCTACCTTCCTGCAAACATTAAAGCCATATCCATTCACATGATCCATGAGGAAGAGAATGACAAATAACTTATTCTCAAATGATAGTTATAAACTCATTAAAACAGACTGAAATCATCTGAGCACATGAGAGAATTCAAAACATGTCAGGTAAACAAAGAGCAGAGCAACCTTATATAGGTCGTTTAGGATTTTTGAAGGCAAACAAAGCTTAAACAAAAGTAGAACTTTTTGCTCTGTACACACACACACACACACACACACACACACACACACACATTTGAGGTGTTGAAGTCCTATTTAGTGTTACTATTGCTCTGATGAAAGTGATGACACACTATGTCCAACACAACTTGGGAGGGAAGGGTTTGTTAGGCTTAACATTTCTTATCACTGTTTCTTGTTGAAAGAAGTCAGGACAGGAACTCAAATATGGCAGGGACCCCAAGGCAGAGATGATGCAAAGCCATGGAGTGGTGCTGTTTACTGGCTTGCTCCTCTGGCTTGCTTAGCCTGCTTTCTAATAGAAGCCAGGACCATCCAGGGAAGGCACCACACATCAATCAATAAATTAAGAAAATACTCTTCAGACTTGCCTACATCCTGATCATATGGACACATTTTTAAATTGTGGTTCCCTCCTCTCAGATGACTTTAGCTTGTGTCAAGTTTACACAAAACTATCCAGCACACTATGTAAAGAGAGATTAAGAAAATTATACAAGGATATACATTCAAAAACCTTACAAATTAAATGAAAATGGAAACTTTTAAAATATTCTAATGATGCAGATAAAGTCAAGGAATGAAAACAGAGTAAGAAAACACAAGTTACTCGTACACACGTATACACATATACATACACACATACTTAAACACATATATTCAAATGCACACACATACACGTATATATACCACACACGTGCATATACACACCAAACATTCACACACACCGCACACATGTATACACACACACACACACCACAATTAATATAACGACAGACTGAAACACCAAAAATGTTTTGAGGTGAAAGGGGGAGAAGGAATCTCTGAAGAATAGTGACCTAATTCCACAAAGGACTGCACTTGACTACAATGTGACTTCTGCTAAGACATCACCCAGTACATTACCTTTAAATATGTACCAGAGAATTCTTAAAAAAAAAAAAAGTCTCTGACCAATGGACTTGGCATTCTAGCAAGGGTCGTGACTAGTGAGTTATGATGCTGAAAAAGAAGCTTAAAGTGAGGGCAGGCAAAGGTTTCAGTTACTCTTTCAAAACCACAGGCACCGAATTAATAGCTCAGTGTTTCCAGATGGAAAAAGTCTGTACTAGTCCTGTCTACAAAGTGTTAAGAAAAAAAAAAACAAAAACGAAAATTAGTATGGGAACAAAAGTTCAGGTTCCTACTTTGTTAGGACAGTTTAAGAAACGCAACTGATTCAGACTAGAGAGGGAGGGGGAATGGAGTAGGGGGAGGGGGAGAATTGGGGAGTAGGGGTAGGAGAGGAGTGGGAGGAGGAGGAGGGAAATGGGAGGCAGGGAAGAGGCGGAAATTGTTTCAACAATAAACAGACAAACAAACAAAAAAATAAATAAATAAGAAACGAGACTGAGCCCTCTGCTGGTGCATTACATCATGGCATCTAAAGATCCAAAGAGGATGATCTTGATTTAAGTTAGGTTTTGTTTTGGTGTTCCCTGGAGGAAGCTGGTTAAAATCAACGGTCACTGCCTTCATAGTAACATGAAGATAAACCTCATCTCCAACCTTTTCTATACTAGAAATAATATGTGATCTATAATATGCCAAGTATGTTGGAAGAAATAAAAATGCTATCATGGAAAAGCAACTCTCAGATGAAAGATCCCAATCTTGGAATACAGATGCAATTAACTTCTGAATCAAAACAACTTCCAAATCTTTTTCACACATTGCTCAGCTTTGTTTATTTGTAGAATATACAAACTGCTTTGAAATATTTTCTACTAAATGAATTCTCATTTTTAAAAAAAAAAATACATTCATTTTATCTGTTTAAAGAAACTTTGATATTTGCAAATCTCTAAAATAAAATAAAGAGGTTTTTTTCATACGTGTTTAGATAAATGAATGACCAAAAACACAATCAGCACATGGAATAAGTAAAAGCCAAGACAGATGGAGTCTTTGTTAGGATTAGTAAATACAGTATATACAGTCTGCCATCTTGTGGTCTTGTGCTTAACTTGCCTGGAAAATTGCTGTGGTTTAAGTGTTTGGGAATCCTGAACTTTTGTTGAAGAAAACCTGAAAACTGGTCCCTCGATGAGATAACTGACATTACAGTAGTGAACTTCCCTTGCTGTTTTCTCCTCCTCTCTCCCACAGAGATAAGCGAACACTGAAGGCTCATTTAGAGTTGGAGGTGGGCTACATCCCCATTATAATAGAGATTTCGGAAGAGTGAACTCAGAATTATATGAGATTGTAGAAGTGGTCCCTTTGTAGTGAAGTACTAGTGTCTTTCTATGTTGAAAAATAACGCAAGGGTAGAATTGATTACCAACACTGTGAATCAGTATTCAATCTAGACATTTGAAAGACCCCATTGTTTTTGACTACACATAAACTGTGCGGACATCATGCTACTGAACTGCTCTAAATCAAGAATCTGAAACATGATATATTTTCAGTTTTATCCATAGTTTCTGTCTTCTACACCCCCCCCCCCCCAGACTGTGTCTTTGTTCTTTTCTGTGACCAAACAAATGTCTTACTTTGGTATTTATCCCTAGTATAATTCTTTTATTTTTTAATAACCATTATTGCATTCATAAATATAAATGTATCAGATGTTGGCAACCCAGGATGGCAGTGTTTTCCTGACACACACCGTAGCACTGAGTAGTGCCAACGCTGCACTGCTGAGCTGTGCATGAGCTGTCATCCTAGAAGTGGAGAGAAAAGCAGCCTGGCATTTGCCTCACATTTTGCAGAAATATTTGTCCACTAAAGCTCACTTGGGATTGCAAAAATTTCCATCTCTGAAACTAAACATGGATTATCTTCATTTCCACTTACAAAGTGTATTTAAAAATAACACAGACTTGAGGACCGTTGCTTGAGAGACATTTTCAGAAGGAAAAAGTAAATTTTTGAAAGAAAAAAAAATTATCCCAGCAAAACTAAAAGTACCAAATATCAGACTTTGTATGTAGCTATGCTACTTATAATGTTTCTTTGATATTCAGACTCACAAACTTTTGTATTCCATTTGAAACCGGGAAGGTTTGTGGGTTCTAAATAAGGAAATATAAAAGGAACATATCACAACATCATCATCTATTGTGTTCCATTTTCAGTTTTCCTTGTTTGAAAATATTTGTATACAGAACAATTTATAAGATATAGCTTTTTTCTAGTGAAGTAATATAATAAGGTCAAATAAAGCAATGTTTAGGGTATTCAAAACAATTTGACAGCATGGTGTTATATGCATTCAGTTATGATGTAAGAAACACAAAAATCTCAGAACTGGATGTTCAGGATGAGGTGAGGAAATAGAGGGACACTGGAGAAATGGAAGTGAAGGGCAAGGTACCCAAAAATAGACAGACTGACTCTCGTTTCCCTCACTTCACAGACATGCAAGCAGAGACAGGAATGAGTCACTGAGGCATTTATACCATTCTTAGCTGAGTAATACCTACAGTTCAAGTGGAGACTTGGTTCTTGTTAGGCTGGAGAATGTTTTTAATGCTGGATTTAAAAGAAAAAAGAAATTGAAAAGTAAATCAGAAAAAATGGGAGAGTTGGAAAACTGAGTTGATTATAAAAATACTTACTTTATGTTACCAACAAAGAACTCAATTAAATTATTAGTTGGATTGTGTCAACCAAAATCACATGTATTAAATTTGGGGAAAATATTTGACTTGCCCTTTAGTTAAAATATCAAGGAAGGGCCCAGTGGTGATTGCGGCAGTAATCCCAGTACTTGGAAGATAGAGGTAGGTGGATCTCTTCGAGTTTGAGGCCAACCTGGTCTACAGAGTTAATTCCAGGATAGCTAGGTCTGTTGCACAGAGAAACCAAGTCTCGACACCCCCCCCAACAAATAAACAAACAAACAGAGAAAAACAACACAGACATTTAAAACCATTTTTACTATAGGATGGAATGGGGAAAGGGGTAACATGGAGCATGATCTTAATGAACATACGCTGATGCATATAAAGGATGATTAAAAATTAGCTTCTTGAGCATGATAAAAAAAAGCAACTGAAATTCAGTGACGATCTTGTGGTACATTCATGTGAAATCAATGATCCTGAAAACATCCTTTGTGTTCACAGCACAGTAGGAAATAGTAGAAGATTATTTTATTTCTGTTTTACACAGACACGTAGCCTTGCAGAATTTTAGAACTGAAGAATGTGAGCATCCAATAAGTGTCACTTGCTTATCACAGTTGTTGTATTCATCGTAGTAACGGCAGGGGTTTGCTGGAAAAAAAGTAGAACAGTACACAACATTGTGTTTAAAACAGTGGCAACCATTGAGGAAAGGCATTATCTTCCCAAGAGGCAAAGACAAAGATTCTATATAGTAAAGGATTAACTTGCTTAAGGTGAGCTGATTAGATGTGAATGCAAAACAATTGAGTTGAATCAAATTCTTTTGAAATAAAGTGACCAATTCTACTCATGACACAAAGCAGTTTTATTCAATCTCACTTTTTAAACCTGGTTACACTACACCTCAAAAAACCAGAAATGAATAATCTTTTCAATTACTTTGCCATTTTGAGACCAATAATGCCATTATAGAAAATAAAGCAATAAGTTTCAGTCATTTTAAAAAATGGTTTTGGAATTTATCCTTGAAGGATATACGTAGTCAAGAGGACACAAAAAAAAAGGCTTCCATCCAAGTCTCTCAAGAGACATATCAGTTTCAGTGGCAAACCAGGCATGAAACTGTCCTCTCAAGAAATTCATCAGCAGAGAGATCTCACCTGTTTTATAGCATAATAGAAAAAGAATTTCAAATTAATGAAAGAATTGGCATCACAACTCCCTTCTCAACATGAAGAAATACAGAATAAAGAGATCCTCTCTAAGCCCAGGTCATAGACCTGGAATCCTATAGGAGACTCAACACAGAAAATGTCAGAATCAGAGAGAACCAGCCCCTCCTACAATGTCATTGCTCATGAACTGAGCCTTTAGCTCTGTGTTAGCCTTTCCTTTCGTTATGACCTTCCTCCACCAGTGCTCTGATGTGGAAAAAGACACCATTCACTCTTACTCTAGATAAAGTAATAATGTCTAAGTAGAGGAAAGCACTCCACATAAAACTAGTAATTAGTAACAATGCTTTGGAAGTTATGGAATAAGTGAAAAGTATGTAAATTGTTTATAAATAACCAACTGAATGAGAAAGAAATCAAGGAATCATATTACTACTATCAGTATTATGATTTATCATGGATTAAATTTTGTAATTTAAAAATTTCAAACATAAGGAATGTATTTATACTCTTTCCTCTTTATCATCCATACCTATCAGTATTTCTCTATCTCAATAGTTAATTGATGGCATGTTATTTAAATGGTATATCTATGTCAAGGCTTGGATAACCTATCAAAAAGCTCATTCTTGAAGAAACTGATTCTCCCTTTTTAAGCAAACAGCAATTGTCTGTATCTCTTTGTCTGGAGGTGGGGCCTATGCGAGTTTGACATGCACATGGAGTTGGATCTGGTTTTCTCACTGTGCATTTCTTGTGGTTTTTCATGGGTATGTGGTAAAAGCAGATCTTAGTATACCTCTTATTTGCATTTCCTCAAATTTTAAGGGTGTTGAACATTTCAAAAAAAACTTTTTCCCTTTTTAAATTTGTTTTTTGAGAATTTTTTTTTCAGTTACATCATCTATTTTTAATTGAGTCATTTGCTTTCTTGACTCTTGTTTTGTTGGTCTTTGTATATTCTGAGTAGTCAAGCTCTATCACAAGTACATACAACAAAGAACTCTCTTGCTTTTGGATTCCTTTTCATTGTCTTGATTCTGGGAAGTGGCTGTGTTGACAACTCCATGATGGAAATCACTCAATTAGATTCTTTACCATGCAGCAGCTATTCAGTTCTCTCAACATTTGCCAGTTGATGACCTTATTTCATAAGTGAATGGAGTCTTAGTCACAGGGGCCTTCATCTCAACTACATCCTGGAAGGCATTGACTATGCCTCCTCTGTAATTTCAGTGTTTCAGGTCTCACATTGATCTATTTGATCCATTTGGAGTTGATTTTTCTGTCGGTGATAGATATGAAACTAATTTCATTATTTTAATGTGAACATACAATTTCCTGAGCACAGTTTGTTGAAAATGTTGTCTTTTCTTAGTATGTATTTTTGACATCTTTGTTCAATCTTCTTTCATGATTGAAATGCCATGTGAGTAATATACATAAAGAAGTAAGCTCTTTCTGTAATAAAGTCATTTATAATGAGCCAGTAACTAACACCATGCTGAATATCAAAAGGTAGATGATTTCTCTCTGAGATGTGGAACATTAAAAGAATGATCACTGTCATGACTTTTGTTGAACACATTGGTAGAAATCCTAACTGAAGTAGTGAGGCAAGATAACAAAATGAATGGTTTTTCTAAATTGGAAAAATAGCTAGCCAAATTGTCATGGTCAGAAGATGACATCGTCTCTTACAAAGAAATGGACAAAGAGCCTGCCAAAATTAAGAAAATTTAAATTAGTTCAATAAACTGGTTGCAGTAAATCAAAGCAGCATTTAAAATATGGAGCATGGTGTATGCAATAACAATGAGTGAAATAAAAATTAAGAAAACAATTTCACTCATAAAACATAAAATTATACAGCAATTAATTCATTCAAAGTAGTGACATATCTGTTATGAAATAAGAGCACACAAAGCAGGAAGAAAACCTGTGCCTTGTATTGGAAGAATCAATATTAGTAAAATGCCATTCTCTGGGTCCCACCACTAGACTAAGAACTCCAGACAGCAAATGACTACTCAGAGAACGAGAATTAGCGTCTCAGAGGGATGAAATGGCTTACTGAGTGTTCAATGCAGGGTGGTCAGCCATGAAAGCACACAACCTTCAGAAATGGACTCAGGGTTGTATTTATGTATTTGTGGACATTTTTAACAATAATAGTAAAATTAAAGAGGCTAGCAACTTGAGAGTGAAGAGACATGCTGAATAGTGCCTGTTAAGTAGTAGCAATTAGACAAAACTGAGAAAGGTAAATGTGTTATTGGTGTCTATACATGATAGCATACTGCATACTTTTTAAAAAGTGGAATTGTGAACAATGTTCCAAAATCACAAATTTTTGAAAAATAACAGATATGACTACCCTGATATAAAAATGTATAATATTTACCTGTCAGAATATGACCATAACTTCTACATATTCAACTTTCATATGTTAATTAGAAAAAAATCAGAATTTACACAAGCATTGAAGGAAAAATTGTTATAGAATGCTGTACCAGATAACTTCTCAGCAAATAAAAAAGAATAAGGTTCAGCCTAAAGAAAATTCCACCCTGATGTGTATTTAGCCAAGTTGGGGGCAACAAGCATTTTGGAGAGATTGGTAAACTGAAAGCAATATGCATAATTTGTGGTCAAAAATAAGGTATCCAAGGAATTGTGTAGGGACAGCAATCACACATAAATATTAGGGTCACTCTACCACATAATTTTAAATTGTTGGAAGGTACCCTGAGTTTCCTACCAAGGTATTCCAGTTTTCCATTCACTCCAATAATGAGGTCAAAGAGATTTGCTTACACTGGATATGAAAGAAAAAAAAGTAGAAACAATGTAGATATATCTGTGGTAATACTGAGCTGAAAATTATAGAAATATAGATTATAGTTAAGCATAACCTAAAGCATACATGGTCACCATATCAGTATGATCAATATGCCAACTTTAAGCAACCCAAGTTGAAGAACAAAAACAACTCACTGCATAGCCCATCTTCACAGTGATTTGGACAGTCTCCACATGGTGAACCTTCCTTATAAGGCATATTTAGCAAGTCGGGATTATTTCCCCTTTACAAAAGAAAAGGAAGTGGAGGTATAATGAAAACTATCACTGGAAAATATTTATAAACTTATGTTCTCTGTTAACTGCTAATTCAATAGATAATTCATTTAAGCATATTTGTAAATAAACAGTTAATATTTACGATAAATTTATGCATGAGTATTGCCTTTGCAATAAACCACCAGCAGTTCTGTTTATTTGTAGTTGTTTCTTTATCTCTGAACAGTTGTGTGCTCACAGGAATCAGGACATTTGTACAGTCAAGACTTGAAAGTGGCGCTTTAAGGTGCTGTTTTGTATTTTGTTTTGTTTTGTTTTGTTTGTTTTGTTTTAATTTTCACAAGAACTTGGGAAAGTATTTTGGATAATGTAGGGTCCTTAATAGTGTTAAGGAAAAAATACACAATTTATTTGCATTGGATCTTTTTGTTAAATCTCATTTTAACCAGTGATGAAAAGAATGCCACTTCTTATTGTGTCTTATAGATACACTCTCTATAAAAATCACAAAAGCATTAAAGCATGGATAAAACTGAAGAAAGTACTGGGTGTAGGAAACAGTATAGAAGGAAATTAAGTTGTGTAATTTTTGAAACTTCAGAAACTGAAAAATAATTCTTACTTATCAATATCGAAATGTTGTTTTGATAATATGTAGTTCTTAATTGGTGCCACTTATTAAGTTACATCAAGACACAATGAAGTATATATTTCCACTTTGTAATCTATGAATATACCAGGGTATAGTAAGTTCTATTTTAAATGTAAATAAGGTCCACCTTTTAAGGCTCATGCTCAAGGACATACTAGGTGTCTCACTGTTCTGTTCACATACATGCTCTACTTAAATACCACAGTTTTGGTCTAAATAATAATACAGATAAAAGAAGCATGAGGAGCTGTTATAATCTTTTATCAGCAAGAGTCATTTCAAATTATCAGTCAAAGTCAAATATCCTAGGTGTTTGCCCAGACTTGAAGAACCTTCATCTCCAACTGTCCTCCTTTAGAGTCACAGCAGTAGGCCCTCACAGTCATCTTTACTGTTATGGACCCTTCTGTATAACAGCGTTTGATAAGATAAGGTTGTACATCTCCTCACTGAAGTTACTGAGTTATATGTTCTACAATTTGTCACTAGTACCTATGATAGCAGCATTTAGAATACACAAATTCACTTTTAAAATGATTTATTTTAGTTTTGTGATTGTATATGCATGTATGTGAGTATACTGTTTGTATGTATGCAATGGATATATGCATGCAATGTTTGTTTGTTTGTGTGAACATGGACAGTGGAAGTAAGAAGAGTCCATAGAATCCCCTGAAGCTAGAGTTATGGGCAGTCTTAAGACTTCAGTTTTGGGGTATTGCATGAGAAGCAAGTTCTCCTAATCACTCTCCTGTGCCATGTAAATTTTATTTCTAAGGTAAATGCATAGGTTAACACTGGGACCAGAAAGATGGTACACAGGGATCTGGGTGCCTCTGAATATCTTTGCTTTGCCTACAACAGCTCAAATTCACTTCGCTGTGGGACAACTCTCCAGTGAATACCGATAAACTGTCTGAATGTTTGTGTTTTTTTACTAAGTTTATTTGTAAAAACATGATGAAAACTGAAGGGCTATGGGTGTATTTATGACATTTTGCTGACAACCTATCTGAAAAAAGAAATATCAAAACACTAATTTATGATGCTTGAAACATTAGACAAGATTTTAAAAAGTTAATATATTTAAAAACAATCATAAACTGGTATTACATACTCATGACAATAGTGACACACATAGAGATATATAGGTGTCTTTTGTCTGCGACATGATGCGACATCACAGCCAATGAGGTAAGAAGAGGCCCAGACCATCTGTAAAGATAAGAGATAACTTTATACCAATATTACTGATGTACATCTTTAATTCCAGCACTCCTGAGGTAGAGGCAGGTGGATCTCGGTGTTTTTGAGGTCAATTTGGCCTAAAACGCTAGTTCCCAGGGGCTGGAGAGATGGCTCAGAGGTTAAGAGCATTGCCTGCTCTTCCAAAGGTCCTGAGTTCAATTCGCAGCAACCACATGGTGGCTCACAACCATCTGTAATGAGATCTTGTGCCCTCTTCTGGCCTGCAGGCATAAACACAGACAGAATATTGTATACATAATAAATAAATATTTTTTAAAAAAAAAGCTAGTTCCCAATTAGCTAGGAATGTAACACAGAGAAACCCTGTTACCAAAAGCAAAATAGAAAAAGAAAAAAAAGAAAGAAGAGAGATGACTTCAAACTCTATCACAGAGCTACAGTAATGAAAACAGTGTGGTATTGGCATAAAAACAGAGAAGTCGACCAATGGAATCGCATAGAAGACCCGGAATTTAATCCCCAAACCTA